ACTGTCAATGACAATATTGATTGTCCTTCATATTGAAATTACTATAACACTGTATGTTGACAGATGTCGGCTAAGCCATTGGCTGCAAAAAGATACGAAACTCAATTACTAGGACAATTTCAAAATGAAGAGGAAGATGTGGATGACAATGAAGCTACCAAAGAGCAGGAAGAACAAACGGTTCAAAGGAGCGTACTAATTAAAGCAAGATCGAAGGGCAAAAGGAAGTTAGTGGATGAGCCGGAGGGTGGTTCTTCTGACTCTGATGAAGCAGAAGACTTGGGGGTGTATATGTCAGGTAATGAGTTTGATCAACACAAACACAGTGAAGCAGGTAATGAGTTTGATGCTGCTGGCAGTTCAAAAACACAAGTGACCAATCTGAGCAGCATAATTGAGGGGCTTGAATCTGAGAACAAGATATTGAGAGAACAAGTATCAGAGCAGCAAAGTTCCATTGAGAAACTTCAAGGTGAAAATGTTACTCTCATTGGTCAAATAACCGCTCTCAATGTTGACATTGATGAAAGATTGTCGAAAGAGGAAGAAGCAGCTTTGAGAAACAAGATTAAAAATCTCGAAGAGACGAACAAAATACAAGAACAAGATCTGGCGAGGTTAATTGATATACCAACTAACAGCCAGATTGAGGCATACTCAAGTGCAAGATTGGAGAGACAAGTACAAGAACTGAAAACAAAACTCACTTCTGCAATTGAGAAAAACACGTTGAATGACCATGAGATAGCCACTCTTCGTGCACAAAACAACGTCCTAACCAAAGAGCGAGATGCATTTGTTTGTCAACCTATAGAACCAAATGATGATGTCAACAAATCTCAAACCAACTCGGATACATCATTTAGCAGCATCCAAGAATTACACTGCCAAGTTGTTGAATTGAAGCAGGAAAATGAAAAGTTGTGTGACGAAAATAAGCAGTTAAAGACGAAATTTGAGGATATGGAGCAGAATCTGCAAGCTTTCATTGATTCGACCCTAAAAGAAGAGCAGAAGCCGAATGATGTTGATACAGACTTTGCAGATCCACAAGAAACAATGCGGGACATCGGAACAAAAAAAACAAGTGGTGTGCACAAAAGGACGCGCTCAAAACTGAATCAAACTGAAAATCATAATCGTAAATCAACTGTTGCCGACAGGACACGGGGAAAACGTAAAGAGCCTGCACTCAACAACAACCAACCAGAGCCGGTCAAGAAAAAAAGACGAAAGGACTTTTCATACCAAAAAGGGATATCTTCGACCTGCTATCTAATGAGGACAAAATCATTGTAGAGAATATGACTGTAGATATAGCAGAGGAGGATCATAGGTATGTATGAGAATATAATCATTTTTTTATTCATCTTTAAATAAATCTAACGCATTAGCTCTTTATGTAGGGGTCTGATCTCGATTTGGTACAATAAAGACGAAACTGTGTATGAGTTTGTTGAGATGGCTGACATAATGACATTGTTGAAGGAGGGATCAACCAGTACACAAGTGAGCACCCACTAACAAAAAAAACAAAAATACTGTCAACCACAAACACTTTACCTAAAGAACTGCCAAAACCAGTAAATTACACAAATGATTTTCTACACTAACTCTATTTTTCTTGTTGCATATAGGTACTTGATTCATACTCGTCCATTCTGCAAATGCGACAAGAGGAAGGATATTTTAATGATAATATCAATCATGGTTTGGATGGGGACAGTTATGTCTTTTCAAGTTCACTTATGGTATGTGACTGATGTCAACAACAAATATTTAAATTTATATATTATTCTATTTATATATATATATGTATATGTATATAATGGTGTGTTAACATACAGGTCGTTCTTCAGCAACCCAATGTTGAAGAATCTTTCAATAAAATTCTGAGCCAACTCATTCGGAAAATACATATTCAGCAGTATCGATTCCTCTTGTTTCCACTTCATTCCAAAGGCAACACACGCAAGAATAATGATCATTGGACTTTGGTTGTCCTAGATATAAAGCTCAACACGTGGAAACATTACAACTCCTACAAGCCAAGGGCAGTGGAAAACCTGAAACGCACAGATCCATACCTGTGTATCGCTGAAAAAATGGTAAGTAAAACTGAATAAAAAAAATAAAGGAAACTCCGTATTGTAAAACTGAATAAACAAAATTGTAGGTAAAAGCTGTTGAAGCAGTCACCAGAGAATGTAAAATCAAGAAAATTCCGCTAGATGCAACACTTGAAGAAGTTGAAGATTCACCTCAGCAAGAGTACGGCAGTGAGGATTACGGGATTTTTGTAGTATATATAATCAGACAGTATTTCCGTCAACAGCCAGTGGACAAGTTGGATGCAGAAAAAAATGTTAAGAATTTCATAAAGGAACTAGTTCACTTATTCTTGAACCACAAAAACACTGTTAATCACAGGGTTAGGCGGACAAAACCAGTGTGATAGGCTTAATGTAATGCAAGTTTAAATGACCGTTTAAGTATTTTCAGTATAAAACTCTATGGTTGTAGGTTTAAATGTACTGTTAAGCATTTGTAGTATGATACTTTATGGTCGTGGTCTTAATGTACTGTTAAGTATTTGTAGTATGTTACAATACGTACTTTATGTTCAAGAGTGCAACAAATATACTGTTGCCATGTAGCATTATTCTGAATTTGAAAATGTTGTACTTACTTACAGTTCATGCATAATGTTATACAGAACCATTCAAAAGAAAATTACATGAGTTACACAAAAGTAACTGTCACTTACAGTAACGTAGAACTACTGAAGAGTATTACTGAAACAAAATATAACTGTCACTTGCAGTAACATAGAACTATTGAAGCAAAATTACTGAAACAGTATAACTCTCAGTCACAGTAACATAAAAGTACTGAAGAAATTTACTGAAACAATATAGCTGTCACTGAAAGTAACATAGAATTACTGAAGAAAATTACTGAAACAATATAACTGTCGCTGATAGTAACATAGAATTATTGAACAAAAAAAACTGTAAGCATTCATATATGCAATCCCAAAACTGTCAAAAAAAAAAATAGTAGATCTTCAAATAGCTTTGTTGCAAGTCTTCTTGTTGTGATGACCAATCTCTTTACATCTTCCACACTTGATCTTCTTCTTGATATTCTCACCATGAGATGGAATCCTATTCTTTTTTGGTCTTCCACGTCTTGTCTGGCAAACTGGAGGTCCAACAGGTGGCTGCTCAACTTTTGTAAAGTCCACCATAAATGGGTAAATAGAAAAACAATACGTAGATCGAAAATTGCAGGCATAAAACAAGGGGTCAATGTACCCATATCTTTCACCAACGGGGATATTCTTGAGAACCACAGCCACATGACAATAAGGGAATCCTTTAAACTGCCAATCCCGACATATGCACGTTCTAGCAAACAAATCCACAATCTCATGAGAGTCTGAATGCACTTCAAAGACAAATTGATTTGATTTTCTAATAGTCCATGTCCTCCCGTCTTCGACAAAATTGCTTAAAATCATTTCCATCTTTGGACAAAACATGGTAGTCCAACGACTCGCTTCTGCAGACCTCTTGCAAATTTTATCCATCATATAACCCTTAATGCTGTCAATCATATGGGTAATCGGCAAATGTCGGAATTTCTATATTATACCATTCCATGATTCCACAGCATTTGAATACAGCTCACCATACCTATGCCCCTCAAAATACGCATTTGCCCAATTTTTAAAAGGCAAATCTGACAAAAAATCAACAACTTTCCATGAACCATCAATTTTGAATTTCTGAAGTTTCTCATGAAAGATTTCCTTAGTGGGAGCATACGCGCATGCTATCAACTGACTAACTAAAACATCTCTATAACTAGAGCTCATTCCACTCAACTTATACCTCAAATTATTCTCTAAATGCAACAAGCAGAATGCATGGTAACAATTAGGGAAAATATTTTTAACAGCTTCCAAGATACCGTGCTGCCGATCGGATACGAATGTCAAAACACGATCTGAGCTAATGCAACATTTTAAATGTTCCATGAAATAATTCCAGTTTGAATCATTTTCCTCACGCACAACGGCAAATGCCACTGGATAAAGACCTGGAACACCGTAAAATCAATGTAAAAAAGAAACTTGTCATTTCATGAACTCTTGGTCTATAAACCTTATTTTACTGTCACATACAGTAAAACTTATTTTACTGTCTGTGACAGTCATATAACCTTAATACACTATCTATGACATTAACAGATATGTGGGACTGAAATAAAGAATGTAATACAACAAAATTACCATTTCTTGCATCTTTCGCCATGGCGCTCAAAAGAATACCTTTGTATCTACTCTTCAGAAATGTTCCATCCAAAAAACGAATCGGACGGCAAAACTTAAATCCGGAAAGACAAGCACCAAAACTGAAGAAACAACGATTAAACGAGTTATGCTTCTCATCAACTTCCAGGTGAAACACACTGTCTGGATTGCAATGCCCAACTTCTTCAAAATACACTTTCAGGTACGAATAAGATATTCCATCGTCTCCAAACACAAAACTCCGACTAGATTCTATAGCTCTCCATGCTGTATTGTAGTCAATATCAATCCCATAATTCTTTTTGGCGTCATGAATAACGTCGTTAGCACACAGCAACGGCTTATTCCGAATGTCCTCCACGATTAAATCAGCTACGAGCTTAACGCACATTTTAACCTTCTTGACAGCACTAAATGCTGACTCACACGTATGATGTTTCTCATATGTGCGAATAATACAATATTCGGTTGAAGGTTGAATTGTAGCATGAATTCTCCACAAACAATTTTTCTCCTGTTTAAGCTTACAAACTGCAGTCACTCTCTTCGTATCGTTTTTGATAAATTCGAATCCAAATCCAAGCCCATACGCAAACTTAGCCAAACATATTCTAAATTCTGAACGTCCCCCACGGAAAACTTGTCCAACATCGGTTATCAGATTTATCCAATGTGAGCTAAGCAAAGTCTTTATGGGCGCAATGGAACATAATGTGTTGCATGGGGGATTAACTGCTGCTTCAATTGCAGCAACAGGTAACACACTCGACGAACCTACCATAGAGCTGTAACTAGTATCAGACGTACCAAGAGATGCATGAACTTGCTTCACAACAATTTCAATCCTCTGAATCGACCATTGTTCCACAATAATAAATAACCCTTTTACATCTTCATCATCGTTGATTGAAAAAACACCAATCTCAGGAACAGAGTACGATAATGACAGGTTATCAACACTTAAAGAATTCCATCTTGAACAAACAAAATGCACAAGATTGGAAAAACTCATCCCTGTTGTAAAATCTGTGATCGAACAAAATGCACCATATCTAAACAACAACACAATAGAACTAGACATCCTGCAATTTCATATAAAACATAATTATACTGTTAATAACAGCCACATTACTAATACATCAAGTAAATCTCTATGTGCATTCAATTATACTGCCAATGACAGTATCATTATATAAACACTTGCAAACAAACATAGGAAAACATAAATACACTGCTGCCAACAGTCATATTACTAATACATCAAGTAAATCCGCGTATACATTCAATTATACTGCCAATGGAAGTCAAAATACATTAACAACCAGCGAAATAAACATACACATGCAATTATACTGCCAATCGCACAACATTATATAAAAAAAAAAAATAGCGTGAAAACAAAAATACACAACAAACAAAAAACCACAATTCTGTAAACAGTAATTGAACGCCCATACATCATGGTGTTCAATTTACTACAATTCAAACTATACATATAGCGATGTTGAAATTTGTAACTTAAAAAAAATTCGCATGCAGATAAAAAAAATTGACACACCTTCGTTGAAAATAATATGATCGGCGGTAAAAGCTAGACACGACGGCCGGCGAGAAACGACGGCCGACGAAAAACGACGGCCGGCGAGACACAGGTAGATGCAGCTCAGTTTCGAGATATAGAGTTGCAGAGAGGGATTCGGGGGAGAATAGATAAGAATCACGCAGAATTCATAAAAAACGAGCTTAGGGCTTTCACATTAAATACAGGGGCAATTATGTCCGAAAAAAGACCCTTTCCTTGATTTTAAATAAACTTTTAAGTATTGGGTTTATTTGCAAGACAAAAAAACTGAATGTCCCTTTTTTAATTAAGTCCATGTGTCATGGGCCTATTTGCCATTAACCCATAACTGTATATTCACCTGACCCAAATCACCCTTCTAAGTAACAACTACTGATTAAGTTTCTACTACAGACAAACAGAACTCTCACACTTGAGGCATTTCGAATCATCTTCAAATAAATACAAAAAAATAAAAGACATATCATTTATAACAAAAATGAAAAACATAAGAATCAACCAAAATAAAAAAATGAAATTAATCCAAAGAAAAAGATTTTAATATTAATTATTCACAGATCTTAAAAAACATAGTAGATCTCATTTTTTGTTAAAAAAATTGTAGATCTGATTTGAGCCCTCCCTCAACCAAAGAAAGAGAATAAACTAAAACAATAATTTAGAAACAATTTCATCAAGCGAAAGTAGAAAGATATTTAAAACGAATTTAAAACAAACAAACCTTCATCCATCATGTTTTTGGCATCATCGAGTCTATTCGATTTGGACAGGTAATTCAAGGCGGCGATTGACGTCGAGCAGACGAGAATGACTTCTTTTGAACGACGAACACAAAGTCCACCACGCAAAAACTTATTACATAGTAGTTCAAAGACCAAGACCTGCGAAAAAGAAAAAAGAGTTAAAGAAACAACGATTTTTGCTTCAAATTTGAACACACACACACACACACACACACACACACACACACACACACACACACACACACACCTACTGATATGCATACACATCACCAACATATACTTCCCACATACCTCATACATGACTACATGTTACTATATGTTACTATATAGTCAAAATCATAAATCATAAATTTCAAGGGATAAATCATAAAAATGGACCAAAAAGATTCACCAAGCATACAAAATTTCATTTAATTACGACAAGCATGTCATTCAATTGGCATGAAAAATTTCCAAATTAGAACATTATGTAATAAACTAAAAAATGCACACACACACACACACACACACACAAACAACTCGGTCAAAGACGGAACTGATTAAAAATTCTAGCCAATTAAAACAACATGTCAGTTGAGTCGAAGAATCAGAGTCGAGTACAAATGACTACAATGTACTACAAGTCCATATGTTATTAAATTTGACTAGATATGACTTCAGTTAAATATTACTAAACGTGACTACATGTGACTACATATCACTGCACTTATATA